AATCCTACCAAAAGCAATCTACCTATTCAATGAAATCCCAACACAGATATCAAATTCATTGTTCAAGGAAATAAAAAAGGCAATTGTCAAGTTTCTGAAAAACAAAAATGAAGTGGGAGGCATAGCACTTCCTACCTCAAAACTTTCTACACAGCTGTAATAACCAAAGCAGAATGGTACTGACACAATGGGAAGTGCAGAGATCAATGGAACAGAATCAAGAACTCAGAAATGGACTCATCTAACTATGGTCAACTGATATTCAACAAAGAAATAAAACCTATCAAATGGGGAGACAACAACTTCTTCAACAAATGGTGTTGGCAAAATTGGACTGCTACCAGCAGAACGATTAAACATGATCCACATCTCATACCATTCACAAACATCAACTCAAGATGGATCAGAGACCTGGAGCTAAAGCCCCAAACCATAAAGGTCATAAGAGACAAAGTAGGACCAAGCTTAGAAGGCCTGTATTATGGTATAAAGAAGCTGATAAATACAGCCAGAAATGTACAATCTGGAGATGATAAAATTGATGAATGGGACCCTCTAAAGATTAAATCCCTTTGTGCATCAAAAACTTTTTCCAGTAGCGTGGGGGGAAAAACCCAACCAACTAGGAAAATAACATTAGGCAGTACCATCTCAGACAAGGGTCTCATAACAAAAATTTACAGAGTATGCCTGGGCCTCCTGAAGAAAAAGCCTGATAACCTAATTACAAAATGGCCAAAAGGCATGAAAAAGTCTTTTCACCTTAGGATGGCTAACAGACACATGAAGAAATGTTCAAAATCACTGGCAATAAGAGATGCAAATCAAAACCACAATGAAATGGCAAAGTTTAGTAGGACAGCAAGTAATAAATGTTGGTGAGGATGTGAAGAGGTAGAAACTCTCCTACACTGTTGGTGGGACTATAAAACGGTATAACCATTCTGGAAGGCAGTTTGGAATTTCCTCAAAAAAACTGAACACAGAAACTCTGTATAACCCAGCTATTCCACCACTTGAGGAATATAACTCAAGGAAATTAGAACTGAGACACAAATGGAGATTTGTCCACCAACGTTCATAGCATCATTAGTCACTATTGCATGGACGTACCAACACCCCAAATGTCCAACAACTGAATCGACTGAGCAAATGTAGTGCAAACAATGGAATAATACACAGCACTCAGGAACAACAATTTTGAGTTACGTTACTTGGGGAACTGGAGAGCATTATGCTGAGTAAACTAACTTTTTCTCCTAAGTACAAATACTGCATAAGACCTTTACTGTAAAAATAGATTACTAGTAAAATGTGTATGGCAGTCCAGTGGAGGAAGGGGTGGGAACATAGGGGTGAGGAGGGGTGGGATCTCACAATTTGGCAGGTGGAGGGAGGGGGTAAAGGAAATGGGGATGATCTACTGGGAATCTAAAAAGACAGGGTAATGGTAGGTATAGTCCAATGGTGATTAATTTTATAAAACACAATGTATGGGAATGATTGTATGAAAAATATTGTCAATGAGAGAAAGTATGTGGGGAAAAAATCTGCACAAAAAATTTAAAAAATCATAAGAAAAGCAAAAGGTCATTAAAGACGGGGAGGGGTATAAAAGAACAAAATGGATTATGAGAAGACACTCTGAAAACTGAACTAGAAAATAAAGATGTCAAAACAAAGTGAAGAAATGCTGAGGAGACATGAACACAAGATTTCAAAGGGCAGCTTGAGAAGATAAAGTATTATAATGAAATGTGCAAAGACCTACAGTTAGAAAACCAAAAGGGAAAAACATGCTTGGTATTTCTCTCCCTGAAATAACTGGAGAAAAACTAGGCTGGCTGCACCTTCTCCAAGACCTATCTGTTTGTTCTTTTAGCAGTCAATGGGATATTCAGTACTCTTCTACATCACAACTCAAAGACACCGAGCCTTCTCCCATCATCCTTATTCACTCTGCAGTTCTCTGATGCATAGCAGGTCAAAGAGAAGACCAGAGCCTGAATTAGGCACACTTTAGTCTTCAAATTGAAAATCATTACTCTTCAGCATTTTGGAGACTCCTGACTGTGGACTTGTCCAATGCAGTAAGTCTCTTCTTGATTTCCTGACTGCTGGTACCAAGGGTTCTGATGTATTAAATGTAGTCTGAAGTAAAGCAAATTCAAATCTGTTTTTTATGTTTTCAACCAGGAGTTGAGCTACTCAGTGGAAGAAAGATGAGCCATCTCCTCTCATGTGATTTATTGCCACTGAAAATCGCTAGCAGTTCAGGTATGCCTAGACTTCAACTAGTGGGCATATAATAATGACAGCAACAATACGGTCCAAATGAGGATGCTAGGTTTATTCCAACAACAGTGCAGCAAACACACTGATCAATGTAAAATGAACTGTATCATTAGCAATGCAATGCAGACTCATAAAAACAGAATCATGACCTAAAAATATAAAGTTAGCCTGGCAATAGCCCCAACAAATACCCTTCCATGGTAATTATAATCAACACTTTGGTATTTTTCTTCCTAGATAACTCATAAGCTTCTATATTTTTATTGCTTATTTTTATGTAAATGTTACTGTAATGAAGAGAATTTAAAAGTAAAAAAATGAGTTATTGAGTTATATTTTAAGTAGGAAATGGTAACTATAATAAATTATCATACACTCTGACCCATAAAATCCTGAATGTTTACAGAAAAACAATTGGTTAAGGTTTTATTCATCCTTAAAATGAACCTAAATTAAAACAAAGATAGAAATGATAAGCAAAAAAGTAAAATAACTTCAGTTATAAATCCATTGCTAAATCAAGTTTTACAGTATTTTTGTATAGATGGAAATCTATGCTTAAGAAAAAATGATAAATGCAGACTTAAGCTTCAGACATCCTAGGAAATCTAATCAATTTATTATTTAACATAAAAATAACCTTTTTTATTTTTACACAAACTTTTCAAACTACTTACACTGTCTCTGGAATATAAAAGGTTACAAGACTGTACTCTCAATCTAGACAAGAAAAAAAAGTATGCCATTTGCATTTCTGGGAAAGAAGATCTAGTGCAGTATTTAAACAAAATCAAAAGGGGTTATATTCTTTTAATAGGTGTTACTTTAATCTCAAAAGAGGTTGATTTTGTATAAACTGAATGTTCAGAGAGGACAAAGTATGTGTTTCCTTAATAATATATGAACATACTTGTCATTTCTAGGCAAAGTTCAAGACATTGCAAGATGAAAAAGCTATATTGATGGCCTGTGATAACTATTCATTACCAGAATACACCTGCTGTTTGAGTAAATTAAATTCTATGCTAGGTTTTCTTTTTAAATCTCTACTTTCAGTGAATACATAGATTTTTCTTAAATCCAAGTTCATACAAAATGTATAGAAAAACTTAGTTAAAAATAGCATTTGCAGGAGCTTTGGCTTGTTTTACAAAGACCTTTTAAATTCTTTTGAAAGAAATAAATTTGATCTTTCAATATGTATCATTAGTCCCCTTGAAAATAAGGCAAAAGTGAACAGACATAAAATCTTCTAAGGCCAAAAAGTACATTCCATATTATCTTTCTAGAAATTCATTTAAACAAAACTTTCAGTCCAAATGTTTACTCTTTCCCAAAATTTAGTTCAATGGCAATAAAAATATGGTCAATCTACCTATATTTCTCAGGTGTTTCCCATTAAATGTCTACAAACTTACAAAAATCTATAGACAAGATAGTTTCTTTTTGAATTCATACTTCTTTTTGTTGTTATTAGATGCCATCAAGTCAAGTACAACTCATAGAGACCCTGTGAAAAAAGATCTGAAACCAGTCCTGTTCTGAGTAATCCTGACACTTCCTGACACACAAGAGCCCAATGCAGCAGTCACCGTGTCAATCCAACTGGTTGAGGGTCTTTCTCTCCTTTGCTGACCTTCCACCCTTTCCAACATCATGTCCCCCTCAAAGGAATAGCACCTCCTAGAAATATGTCCAAAGTAAGCTAGGCGAAAGCTCATCATTTTCAGAATTCATACTACAGAATGTCAAACTGTGCTTTGAAATAAATTCTCCCCTTGACCAGTACTATTACAGATTTAAAGCAATAATTACAAGCAAAGACTAGTTAATGATAACTATAACAGTAATATAATGATGAACATAAACACATAGGAAAAACTAAAGACAGAGAAGAAAACTGTAAATATGCATTATTCTCCAGTAGTAGTGATCACATCCAGAAAGCAGCAGCCGTAACTACTTAGAACTTAAAAAAAAAAGTAAAATTAACAGCCGTCAAGGATGTACTGTTACACAGCTGGCCTTCCAGCGGATATTTGGAGGCTGAAAATTGCACAGGAGGAGACTGGCCATCTTTCTCCTATGAAGCGGCTGGTGGATTTGAACTGCCAGAGAGGTGCTGCCTTTGGATTTGCAGGGCAACTCCCTAAAGGCTAGGCCACCAGAGTTCCCTGGTGAGGGTTAGTTATAGTATTAAGGACAACAATTTTATATAAAGCATCCAAGCTTTTAAAAGAAATTTTAAAAGAAAAAAACAACAATGCTCTTGTTGCTCAACTGTGAGTGAGGACAGAATGTGGAGGCAATAATGCAGATTTACAAAGTGACAGAAGATGGCAAGGAGAGTTTACTATGGCCCTCAGTGCTTCCACTGAAGGCTGCAACGTGGAAGTGTAACCAGATCCTGAGGAAGTGTCACTGAAGAAGAAGATGTTAAAAACAATGTAAACATTATCCTCAACATGAAGGCAACAGCAACGAAAACCCTAGTGTTCATCTGTGCAGTTGGAGCCCTGCAGGGAGGGAGACTTCACTGAAGACCCCAGGTTTAAATGAGTGTAGGCTTCGAGGGCGGTGCCACTTTAAAGTGCCACTGGGGTTCTAGGAAGATACACTGTGCAGCAGGGCACCAGCAGTCCAGTCTCAGGAACTCATTTGGAACAGAGTGAGGCTGTATTTGGCATGAGAGAAGCGGAATCCTGTTAGCAACACTGGGATCTGCTCTCTGCTCTCAACGTGTCCTGATCCAGTTTAATTTTATCCACATCATTTTCTTCATTAGGAATGCTTTGGTGGTTTGCAAGAATATTCTCTACCAGGAATCGGGCGGCTTCATCTATGTTGATATTGTCCTGTGATGCAGAAACGAAGAAGAGAGTCAGTATTAATTTAAAGAAGAAAGCATTAAGAGTAATAGTGTAATTAGGAAAAGTTATTGGAGGAGGCATAGCATATGTTATACCAGCCACCATCTTCTCCAAAGCTTAAGTGTCAGATTCCTCACATTCCTATGTAACTGAATGATGTGGCAATAGAACCCTCATCTCTTGGAAAAAGGTCACTCTTTGAAGTTCCTACTTTAAACATCTGCTCTTAAGTTAAATGAGCTAGCCAGTTTGCAGAAAAGGAATCTTCACTCTGCTCTACATATCACTCCTATAAATGAAAGCATCCAGGCTGAAAAACTCCTGACCTTAACTAATTCAAATATTTGAGATACACACCAAAAAGTAAAAAATAGTTAAAAGGCTCAAACCACGTTAAAATATATGCATCGTGCCATTCCTCCATCTCTGTGCACAAATATTGTAAAATGATCTTAAACAGCAGTGTGGGTACAAAGTTCAGTAAGGATAAATATACCTGCATACATACACACACTCCCCCCTATATAACTTACTCTGTTTAAGACGAGGTGCAATAGTTATGTATTTGGCTGCTAATTTAAAGGCTGACAGTTTGAATCTACCTGCTTTTTTAGGGAGAACCATGTGGCAGTCTGTTTCTGTAAAGATTACAGCCTAGGATTATGGGACAGTTCTACTCTGTCCAAGCGGGCACTGTGAGTCAGAATTTGTCTCACTGGAGCATAATAATTACATGTGTACAATGTATAGGAATAAAGGAAATGCCCAGAAAGCATACTAAAAGCTTGAATTGTACTATGTTGTTTGTTGTTGTTGTTATGTGCCGTCGAGTC